TGTAGAAACTCTAAAGCCACTAGACAACTACTAGATTATTATTTTCCTACAGGTGATGGAAAATTGTTATGGGTTGAACTGTGTCCTCCCAAAAGATATGGACACCATAACCCTGGGTATCTGGGAAAGTGACCTTAATTTGAAATGATCTTTGCAGATGAAATCAAGTTAAGATGAAGTAATTAGAATGAGCCCTAATCCAACATGACTGGTGTCCTTATAAAAAGAGGGAAATTTGGACACAGAGACATGCAGAGAGAATATCACACAGAGACACGCAGGGAAGACTATGGTGAGTTGGCGTTACGCTGCCACAAGCCAAGGAATGTCTGAGGTTCACAGAGGCTACAAGTGGCAGGAGGGATTCTCCCCTAGAGGCTTCAGAGGGAGCATGGCCCTGACAACACCTTGATTTTAGGCTTCTGCCCTTTAGAATAGTGAGATTATATTTCTGTCATTTTAAGCTACCCAATTTGTGGTACTGTGTTACAGCAGTCCTAGGAAACTGATACAAAAATCATCACAGAATTTTTAAAGAGGGGAGCAGGTGACTAGCATTTATTGAAAATCTATGATGCTGTTCTGGGCTCCATGCTGGATGCTTCTTTTAATTTAATTCCAACAACTGTGGGAAGAAGGCATTTGACAAATGAGTAAGTTGACACTCAGAAGGTAAGCAATAGCTGACGTTCCCTCAGCTGGAAAGGGCTGAGGCTAAGGTTCTGCTTCCAAAGCCCACAATGTTTCCAATACACCATTGCCAGGGACACATCTTGGCCTGAGAAGACTGATTCAGCAGAATTTCATGCACTGATGTTAAGCATCAGTAACCATGCAAACTTTACCCAGGTCAACCAGACCTTCATGGGCCCCCTGGAAGATATGTCAACATCTCCTGACTGCCAAATATTGTTGCTAATTGCACTAACACTTCACACTTCGCCAAGTAGTAATCAAACCCTGTGTTTTTAACCAAAAATTAACTATAATGCTGAAACTGTGAATAAACAATCCTATCTATTTACTATTAGAACTTCATATGAAATGGAAGAAGTAAAGCATGTAGTAGGGTGAATGATTCTTTCTCCAGCAACTACCAATCACAGATAATATCCTAAACTTAATTTTTGATTTTAAAAGTTTTGCTTGAATCATCACATTCTCCCAAGGCTTCAAGGACTGCTGGCTGGTAAATGATAAAGCTGGCGGCCAGGATATGAAAGCCCAACACGCTGTTAGTTTTTAAAATCAATATGGTGTGTAGTTAAGACTTCAGACTTTAGAAGGGAGGGTAGAGCACATGCTCAGTATGATAGAGGTCTTGGGTTCCATTCCCAGTACCTCCATTAAAAATATAATAATAACAAAGTAAAAAAATAAAGAATTCAGACTCTGGAACCAGGATGGCTGGGTTCTAATGTGCACAAAGAAACACGCTGGATTTCAGGCCCCACTCACCCGTTTGGTTGACATCCTTGTGCAGGGCACAACCTGTATAACCACACAAGGCAACCCTGCAGGTAAGTTTCAACCTCCCCTGACGACAAGTGATGATGTTCTCCATGTCACATTAACCACCCAAAACATACCAGTAAAAAGGAAATAAAACAATCTGTGCGTTCAAAACCATCTGGTATATTTGATACTCATGATATTACTCATGAAATCATGCACTCCCCCTCCCCACAAAAAAAGGAAAGCAGAAATTATAGGTATTGCTTAATCACCATAGTTTTTCTCAAGTGGAACCAATCTGGGAGAAAAGAAAGGATTGCAGGGGGACAGTATTGGGATTTAGTCAGATTAGCCCCTCGCACATTCATTTGATTCCGCTTATCAAGCAGTAGTCGGAACATGCCACCCTGGATCTGATTCAGGATGTGTGTCTCCGGAAGGACTAATTAGCAGCTCATAGAGAAGAGGGTGTCTCCAGTGCCCCATTAATTACAGCGCTCCTGGTAACTAAGGCAGGCCCACATGAATGCCTCCTGCCCAGAAAGGTCACATCCTGGTGTCGCCAGTCAGATCTGTGCAAGATCTTATTGCTGATCATTATTTCCCTGATAATCACTCCCCAGAGGTCGCTCTGGCTACAACCTAGAATATTTGAGCACAGTAATTTGCAAGATTTATGGAAAACAATTTTTCAGAAATGAGCTCTCCATTTTCATAGGACAAATTCCTCTTTCTCTGGTAAGTGCTGGAGCATACAGAGCAGGTAAATGTTCTAATGGACAGCATAAAAGTAACATTTTTCTTCTAAAGTTGATGATTTGCACTTAGAGCCTCCAATCCCATTTTTTTTACTATAGCAAGTGTTCAGCACAAATTAAAGGGAGGGGGAAAACTCCAATTTTTCAACCTGGCTCTCGCCACAGCTCTGTAATGAGCGCATCATTTCACAGACTCATATCACCCCCCTCTGGTGCTCCCATCCTCAGGGAGGAAACTGTTATTGAATTTCTCTACCCCCGGTTTAGTTTCCTGCCTGTCTCTGGTGTTACATAGGTTGAACTCATTTTTTTCTGAGATTTAACACAATACAATAAAAATGGCCAAAGGCAGTCTTTCTCATCCCTGAGAGGAAAGATTAATGGTAGAAACAATCACCTAATGGAAAGTTAAGAAGAAAAAATCAGTGCAAGTACACGTTACCTGTGTGAATGTGCACAGCACCTGGTGGCTCTTTATAATCAGAACAATTGCAAACATTATTGAATTTTTTTCTTTTATGACATGAAAGGACAATAACAGGGTCTTGGAATCAGCCATCAAACCATCTGAAGTTAGAATAACAGCTGTCCAACTCATTCATTTGTTCAGCCACATCCATCGATTAAGAACTCACCATGTTTTCCACAACTATTTTTTATCTCCGACTGTAACCAACAATATTCCTCTTACACACGCATTAGATAGCCTTGCTCTCGTCTCCTTTAATGCCTTCTCTATATCTCTAGCAATTCACTCATCACTTTACACTGCAATGACCTGACAATGTTTGTCTTCTGAGCTGCCAGTGGACTGGGGGTGGTTGGTGGGGGTGATGACACATCCTTTTCTCCTTTGAATACTCAGCACCCAGACCAGGTGCTAAGTAATGAATGACAATGTGTCTTCAATAAAATAATGACACCTCACATGAGAGCAAAATAAACTCTGTTCTCCTAAGGCCTATTCTGAGAGTCAAAGGGAAAGACTGGACTTTGATGAGGAATTATGAAGTGCATGGAACAAGCCCTTCCTCTAAAAGTGAAATTACAGAGGGCTGTTGAAAAGCTGCTCTTAGATAGTTGTCAGCACTGGAAGGAATTGGAGACATCAGACCAACTCCACTCCTTTCTCGGCTCTCTTTCTACGTGTAGAAAAATGGAAGTTATAAAACACACTTAAAACCACTGCAACTTGTTGGTAACTGAGGCATAAATAGAGTCCAGGTTATTGGATGCCCCCAGGCCACATGCCCTGGAAGGCCATGCGCACAACTTGACCAGCTGTGCAAGACAGACCCTTGGACCACTAACCTCTGCTTTCACAAATGCAACTCTGCATTTTAAAATGCAAATCAGAGAAGAAACATCCTGTGTGTCTTATTCTGTTCCCCTCCATGATTTGTAATGTATTTGACTTGTTCACATCTGCTTCAGGAGCTTTGCAAACCTAACCCCCCGACCAAATATCACATCCTCAGGGAAGCCTTTCCTTATTATTCTCTCACCCCCAGGCTGGATCAGATGCACCTTTTATACACCAGCGGGGTCCCCTGTACTTCATGGGAGTCATCACAGCTTGAAGTTACATATCTGTGTGATTGCTTAATTAACATCTGTGAGACTGGCTCCTCTATTAGATTAAAAGGTCATAAATTATGTCTGTAGAGATAAGAAGCCTTCTAAAAGCACATCCCAACCCATTTTTCCTCCACAGTACCAACCTGGGAGTAGAAATAGGATCAGAGTGATAGTATTAAATTCATTCCTTTGAATCTGCCCCACTTCCTGGTGTAGGCCCTTCAAACTCAACTCAAGACCACTAATCCTCCAGGGTTCAGGAGTTCAAGGGTGTGTCTCCCATGTGCTCACACTTGAGATCTCTCAGTAATACAGGAAAATGGGGCGTGAGAGGATGGCCATGTCCCAGGTCACAGGCAAGTCCCTAGGATGCACCCCATCAAGAGAGGGTCCTTGGCTTCGCGCAGGAAAGAATTCAAGAGCGAGCCATAGTAGAGTGAAAATAGATTCATTCAGGGAGATACACACTTCATAGACAGAGTGCGGGCTATCTCAGAAGGCAAGAGAGAGCAACAGGGGGGCCTAGGAGACACACATTCTACAGGCAGAAGGCGGGCATCTTACGCAGAAGGGAGAGCGGCCACGAAGTGCAGGGCTGTTCGTTTTTATGGGCTGGGTAATTTCATATGCTAACAAGTGGAAGGATTATTCCAACTACTCTGGAGAAGGGGCTGGGATTCCTAGGAAATGGGCCATCACTCACTTTTTGACCTTTTAGGGTCAGCCTTGAAATTGTCCTGGCACCTGTGGGAGTATCATGTAGCAGCTGTTGTATTTCAATAAGTGTGTAATGAAGCTCAAGTCCTACTGGGAGTTGAGTCTTCCACCATATTGGTGCTAATTGCTGTGTTATTTTTTTTTAATGGTTTGCCCTGCTCCCTTACCTCTTGTCTCATGAGGCTGTCCTGAGACACATGCTGTCCTTGGACTGTCTCTGTGTGGGGTGCTGGCTCCCTGCAGCTATGTGCTGCTGAGACCTCTACGTGCCTCAAACCCATCTTAGTTGTTGTCCATGATACACAGGTCCCAGTCACAGAGATTTTCATCAACCCATACTTTCTATGTTTACTCCCAGCCCCTGTTCCCTAGGACTCAAGACCAGAGTCCCTCAAGGTTGGGGAAAAAAAAAAGATACCCATCTCTCCCATCTGGTCTGGAAGCAAAAGCTTAGATCACACTTACATATTCCTTAAAAAAAAAGATACCCATCTCTCCCATCTGGTCTGGAAGCAAAAGCTTAGATCACACTTACATATTCCTTGACACCCTTCAACCTTCAAATGAATTCTTTGCCAGAAGCCTCCTTGGTGATATTAATAGACCCCGTATGGTCTACCGAAGGGGCCCTCCAGTTACCTGAGGCCTGTGTGCATTTTAAGTGAACAGAACTAAATCTGAAGCTTGGATCCTCACTAAATTCAGAGAAAGTGGCAGAATGTCAGTGCCTGTGAGAGGAGAGGAGCAGCAAGTGGAGCCTTCATCCTGGCTCAGAGCGGAGAAGCTCCACGTGCACCCATTCATCTAACAGCTACAACAGAGAGCAAGGATTTCCAGACAGAGCCCATGCATGGGCACTGAGAATTCCAGCCAAAGACACTTCATGACTTGCAAATCTTGACAGAGTCGTGAAGAATATGGCCCTGTGACTTCAGGGGCAGGCAAGGATGGAGGGAAAGCTATCAGCTGAGGACTCTGACAGGACTGATTTGAATCTTGGTTCCAACATTTGCCAGATGTATGAGCTGGGGCAAGTCTCTGAGCCTCCATCAACCACAGTTTCCTCCATCAGATACCAGGACCATCTCAATTTCTCAGGAAAACTAAAAAAAAACAGGTTGGTAAATTATCCAACAGAGTGCTGGGGACATGGCAGATGCTCAATAAATATCCATTCCCTTTGCTGTGACCTTTTTTTAAAATCTGTTCTAATTTTTACAATCATTCCTTCTCAAGAAATTTTGGTTTAAAACTTTTCCATAAAAATGTTGAAAATACATCTTTCATTAACTACTAGTTAAAAATTCTACTGCGCTCTTAGAGTTTACTATTGCATCATTAAGTCCAAGAAATGACACTCACTATTAATAAACTATTTCCTGGACCTATTCCTTCTAATGGTGGGGGTGCGGAGGGAACACTGTTTTCCTCTACTTTGAAAACAGCTTCCAATTCAACAAGCCTATCTGAAGTGAAAAGATGGGAAACTAATATTTACTACCTACTATGTGCCAAGGTGGCAGTAAAACTTGGCAGCTAATTGCTTGAGCTTTGGAACCACATGCCAAGATTTAAAAATCTAGTGTCCACTCCTTAATTAGCTGTGTGATCTTGGGCAGATAACATAAATTCTTGGTGAGTTTTCACCCACAAAATGGTGGTGATTGTACCTACCTCATAGGTGGCTGTGACAATTAAGTGAGTTAATTACAACAATGTATAGCACATAATAAATGCTCAGTAAATATTAGCCCTTATTACTTTCCCGTGTTATGTATAGCTTGACCCTCACAGCAGCCCTCCAAGGTCTGTAATTGGATAGCAGACAGGACCTTGGCATTCTTGCCCATTTATGAGCCCAAAGACTTCACCTTTTCTTTACAGCCTGACACTTTCCAGGAGGCTGCAACTGGTTCTCTTGAAGGTTTAAAACAATAAACAAAACATTAATTATGAGATGGATGTCACCTATGTTCTAAAAGCACAGTTGACATAAAACTTGTTCCCCTACATTTGCTAACTCTAGGTTAAACACATGAGTTTTAAGGCTACTATTGTTTCAGATTGAATTATGGCCACATTCATGGTGACTGAACCCTGCAGCCACCTGGCAGCCAGAAGATAGCATTTTAAACCAAAAGTTATATAACTGTTTCAGTAAACAAAAGAGGGAAAGGAACTCCTGTTTATTGAGTGCCAGGATGTTGTGCAAAGCATTCTGCATTTGTTATTTAATTCTCTCGGAAAGTAGATGACATTTCCCCCGTTTTCTAGATGAAGAAATTAAAGCTCAGACAGGTTACGTAGGTCTGAGGTCAGATAGCCAGCAAGTGTCAGAGGCAGCATAAGACAGGGAGACACCTAGCACCAATACCTTAGAAAGAAGTCATCTTCCATAAACTCTTGGCATCTCTTTGTGACCTCCTCTCAAACCCCTTGTTTAAATACTAGTTAAAGCTTATCAGGTGTCTACTGTGTACCAGGCTCTGCTCTAAGCACGTACAGGCAATATTTCATTGACTTTCCACAGTCCAAGGAGTCCAGAGGAGGAAACCAACCCTGAGGAGGTAATAGGCTGTTTCATGTCACATGTCCTGGAGGTGGAGCCAGGTGATTTCAGAGTACGTGACCTTAAATACTAGGCTAGGCTCTCTCCCCTATAAAGAGGTGTGCGCCTGGAAAGTGAACCCAGTATTCTTTCTATGTCAACATAGTAAACTAGAAAGAGCCCCGGACTGGAGACACTTGATCTGGGTTCTAATCCTGACTCTTTCACTATACAATTTTAAGCAACTTAATCACTCTAGGATTTAGTTTCCTTATCTGTAAACTGGAGAGGTTGAACTTGGGTTTATTCCAGTGCTAGAATTCTGTGACTTACAACATATCAGTATAGGTGGCATAAGCAAGTCAGCAGAGGAAATTCATTTGGTCATGGATAATCTTCCTCATCAAAGAGACCTGGGGATTGAACCTAGGACCTCATGCATGCTAAGTACACACTCTACCACTGAGCTATACCCTCTCCCCAAGGAGACCAATTAAGACCCCAAGGCAATTTGTTAGCATTTATCTGAGCTAGAAACTTGCTTTAAAACTCATATTTTGCCACCAGAGAGAATACACTTAATATGTTAATTTAGAATTAACATGCCATTCATATGAAAGTGACAGTTTGGCATATATCGCATGTAGATTTTTCTGTCTGGGCTTGATGGATGGATACATAGATAGAGCACTGGAGCCAGGGAGACCTGTGTTGTTATGCTGCCTCTGACATGTGACTGGCTGCCTGACCTTTGGAGGAGTCACATAACCTCTCTGAGCTTTAATGGCCTCACCCAGAAAGGGGAGGGAAATATTACCTACTTTGCCGAAGGAATTAAATAACAAATGTCAAATGCTTAGCACAACATACGGACACTCAATAAATAAGTGTTCCTATTCCCTTTTTGTTTATTAAAACAGAAAGAAAGATATACACATGCACACATAATCCTTAACTTTAAAAATTCAGAGACTGATAGAAAAAAACAAAAAAAAGACAAGGACTACAAAGAAATAATCCCAGAGTGAATTGAAAAGATGGACTAGGGGTCGGGGGCAACCATCTAAACCCAGATGTCTCCTCCTGTGGGGGCAGGGCGAGGGAGAGGATGAGAAAGTCACAGCCAGGCTGTAAAATGCTGCCAATCCCCTGAGAGTTGTTTACTGACTTCTTCCCCACTGCTTCCTCCCAGGCTTCAGGGACCAAAACAGAGAACTCCAAATGCAAGTATTTCTCCCCGAGGATTTTTCCGTGGGAATTCATGTTGTCATTCACTAATGTCTCTGTTGCCAATTTTAACCACTGAAAATCACGGAAATCTGCTAAGGAAATGTTTGCAAGGCTTCCCATGCAGACTGACAAAGCAGCAGGCCCCTTTGACATATTTGGAGGAGTCATCAGAAGCACTTTCTGGCAAACTGACAGTTCCTGGGACACAGGAAGAGAATAAAAACAAGGCTTCTCAACAGGTCAAGCCAAATGCCAGGAAAGGGAGCCAGAGAACCAAGCAAGCAGATTTTGTGTTTTTTTTTAATTGAAATTTTTATTGTGAGATCACTGTAAATGCAGAGGCAGTTGTAAGAGATAATACAGGGAGATCCTGTGTGGCTTTACCCAGTTCCCCCTGAGACAGGAGGGAAGGGGACAGCGCATAAACAATAAAGGAAGGACACAGCAATTGAAGACAGTACAAAAATTGGTTAGAACCAAGAAGGCAGAAGGTTCACCTTACAGGAGACCTCGAGCCTCGTTATACGCTCATCATAATATATTAACATGGTAAATGCCACTCCCACAGGTGCCATGACAGTTCTGAGGCTGGCCATAAAAGGCCAAAAAGTGGGCAGTGCCCCAATTCCTGGGAATCCCAGCCCCTTCCCCAGAGTAGTTGGAATAATCCTCCCACTTGTTAGCATATGAAATTACCCAGCCCATAAAAACTAACCACCCCTACACCTTGTGGCCAGTCTCATTTTTCTAGATGATTCCATGCCCTGGGGTCACTTCTCACCTGCTCTCTCTCTCTGTCGCCTTCAGAGACGACCCACACTATCTATGGAGTGTGTATCTCCCTGAGCTTCACTCTATTATAGCTCACTCTTGAATTCTTTCCTGTGTGAATCCAAGGACCCTCACTTGATGGAGTGCATCCCTGGAACTCACCTGGGACATGGCCATCCTTTCATGCTGCATTTTCCTGCAACACCCCCAGGGGTAACAAACTGGAAAACTGTACCACAATATCACAACCAAGATATTGATAATGATACAGTCAATTACCACTGACACCAGAACATCTCCATCACCACAAGGATCCTCATGGTGGACTTTTATAGTCACATGTAGCATCCCCCACTCCTGGCAACCATTAATCTATTCTTCTTTTCTGTAAGTTTGTCAGACAGAATGTTATGTAAATGAAATCATCCAGTATATAACCTTTTGGGATTTAATTCTCTAGAGATTCACTCAGTTATTGTATTAATACAACAACTTTTTATTGCTACGTAGTACTCCATGATGTGGCTGTATCACTGTTTAACCATTTACCTGCTGGAGGACATCTGGATTGTTTCCAGGTTTTGGCTATTACTAATGAAGTGGCTATAAACATTCATGTACAGGTTTTTGTACTTAAGTCTTTGTTTCTCTGGGATAAATGTCTAGGAGTGCAATTGTTGGGTTGTATGGTAGTTGGATGTTTTGTTTTGTTAAAAACTGCCAAACTATTTCCCAGAGTGGCTGTAATATTTTAAATTACCACCAACAATGTATGAGAGATCCAGTTTCTCCTCACCCTTGCCAACATTTAATGCTTCCATTATTTTTTTTTTTAGCCATTCTGATAGGCACGCAAGGGTATCCCATTGTGATTTTAATTTCCATTGCCCTGATAGCTAATGCTCCTGAGTATCTTTTCATGTGTTTGGTTGCCTTTGTGGGATATACGGTTTGCAAATATTTTTTCCCACTTTGAGCTTGTCTTTTCATCCTCTTAACAAAGTCTTCTAGGGGACAAATGTTTCAGTTTTGATCGCATCCAATCTATCCATTTTTCCTTTCCAGGATTGTGTTATTAGTGTCAATTCTAAGAATTCTCTGCCTAGCACTTGATCTTGAAGATTTTCTCCTATTTTTTCCTTAAAATGTTATGATTTTATATTTTACACTTAAGTCTGATCTATTTCAAGCTAATTTTTATAGCTTAGGTCAAGGTTCTTTTTTTTTTTTTTTTTTTGCCTTTGGA